TAGATAGATTGTTGTTGTGTACCATAAAGATATAACCAATCCACAGGCCATAGCTGACCCTCTGGTGGGTTTTCAGAGACAGTGAATCAAACTGGAGGAGATTGTCCATCCTTCTCCCACAGAGCAGCTGGTGACAACAACAATCTACATATGGATACAATCTTTTAGTTTTTTTGTTTTAGTGGAAATTTACAAATAATTGGATTTTCAGTCATTCACAAGCTTGATTATAGCATGCATTAAGCATTACAGCATGATTAAGTAAGCATTATAGCATCAATTACAATTGTTAAGTGCCATTGAGCCCTAGGCATCTCATAGTGACCCTATAAACGAGAGACTTGAACACTTGTATAATTTTCATCATTTCTCCACATTCATAGTTTCCAGAGGCAAGCTGTTTCAGAAGTGAATGCCACTCCTCCTTCCAAATTTGTTTTAATTGGGAAGCTCCACTAAACAGTGTCCACCATAGTTAACCATTATCACATTTGACACATTAGTTTCACAGTGTTCAGCATCACAGCAACCATGAGTTATTTCTGTACAGCAAATGGACAGACAGCGCTATATCATTTAGAAGAATGTTTGACCAAAAACAATTAAAACGTACTTGGTCAGCAGTATGGGGCTGGAATCCAGGTTTTAAGTTGTCTGCAGCAGCCAGATTCTACAGAGGTTTGTTTGCTAAGATTAACAGCAGACTGTTTATAAGAAGTCTCAGGTCACTAGTTAGTACTTAATAGTTATAATAATTAACCAGTTATAAAAGTCCCTAATTTCTAACTTTAACATCTCCATCTGTGGCTCTAATTGTTTCCCAATTTCTCTATATCCCTTGGCTTTGGTGATTTGCTAGAAGGTTTCCCAGAGACTCAGACCCATCAGAGGAATGATTCACATGACTGTAGGCATGCAGGCTAGTTTAAAAGAAAGAAGTAATGTAATTAATTACAATGTGTAAGATTTTTGTATTGTTGCTTTACTTCCTTTACCCTACTTACCTATTTATTTTCATTCCAGTATCCATTCTTTCTTATTCCTGTTAATCTAAAAATATTTGTGTGTAAACCTTTCCTTGATTTTTTATAATTAAGCTTCTGTTGGTTTGTATTTTTTTTTGTTTGTATTTTTGTTTTTTGGGGTTTTTTTTTGTCAAGTCACCTGTGACCCATAGTGACCATCTATGTACAACAACAGCTCTGATCCCTGCTCTATCCTGAGCCAGTCTCACTGACTCCAAAACACCTACCCCCATTGTCTCGGTTACTTTATCAATCCACCTCATCTGGGATATTCCTTTCCTGGGCTGTCCCTCCATCCTTCAGAGCATGATGTCCTTCTCCAAGGATTGGTCTTTCCTGGCCCCGTGCCTAAAATGTGTGAGACAGAACTTCAAAATCCTAGCCTTCAAGGAGAAACTTGGTTTTACTCTCTCCAAGGCAGACTCATTCGTATTCTTGGCAGTCCATAGTATATACAAGACTCTTCTCCAGCACCACAGTTTAAAGGCATGAATTCTTCCTCTGTCATCCTTAGTCATTGTCTAGCTCTATGATGCATAGCAAGTAATTGCAAAGACTTAGTCTCTAGACTGGCATTGTTGCTTCTCAGAACTCTGTAAAGGTCCCTGGCAGCAGATTTACCTAATAAAATTTGTCTTTTGATTTCCTGACTGCTGGTGCCAAGAGTGGAGCTGAGCAAGCTGTAACTGCTAACAACCTTAATCTCCTCTTTAACCATCATGGTGCCAGTTGGCCCAGTGGTGAGAATATTTGTCTTATTGATGTTGAGTTTCAATCCATATTAAAGATTACAGTCCTTGACCTCCTGCAGCAAATGCTTCAGGTCCTCCTCAGTTTCAGGAAGCAGGGCTGTGTCATCTGCATAACGTGGTTTGTTGATGAGTCTTCCTCCAATCCTGATGCCATATTCTTCCTCATAAAGTTCAGCTTCCTGAATGATCTGTTCTTCATATAGATTGAAAAGTTATGGAGACAGGATGCATCCTTGACATACTCCCTTCCTGATTTTGAGCCATTCAGTGTTTTCCTACCCTGTTCTGAGGACTGCTTCCTGGTCAAAGTATAAGTTTTGCATAAGCACAATCAAGTGTTCTGGGATAATAGTGATCTTATAAATTGTCCTTTAGCGACTTAGGCCATTCAGTATAACTTGTTCTAGGGTTATCCATGTTGTACAATATTTCATGAATCTTGATTCATTGTTAGTGGCTCATAATACTTCATTATGAATGTAACTTAGTTAGATCAGCCATTCTTTCATTGATGAATATTTGAGTTGTTTCTAATTCTTGGTTATACTGTAAAGAATGCTGCAATAACCATGCAGATCAGTTTGTGCTGTAGTTCTTATTTCTTAGCAATATATTCTTAATAGTGAAATTGCTAGATCAAATGGTGCTACTATTCCCACACTTTATAAGGAACCAGAGAGTCAGTTTTGAAAATATATACCTGAAATTTTAAAATGTAAATTTCTCTCTTGGCAATCAGAAAAAAGAGCATTGATATGACCTAATTGTGTCATTATTTGTGTTACACATTTTCTAGTGAGCTTATAAGAAAGAGGTAACAAATATAAACAAGAAAACAGTTATTCCTTTACAAACTAATTTTATTATAAAAAGTTATCAAAGTATGAACATCTAACTTAGTTTTACACAAATGATCAAGAGAACACACTGAGGAATGATGGTACACTGAGGTGAAACCATACACATGTGGATACCAACTAAATGGTCAATTAAGTGACTACAGTAACCTCAAAACAGTTTTTAACTGACATGTACCTGTACTTCCTAATTAAAAATTGTTACAAACATTGCCTTTGGTTTGTGAACCAAATGCCATAACAGAAGAGGAGAGAGCTGCAGGCAAACAAAGGAGTAGGATTTGAGTTGAGTTCTAAGGGTTAGTCTTGTTGCCTTAAGAGTAACACCTTTCCCCATTAGGTTTCTAAATTTTTAAATAAACAGCTGTGATTTCTTTAATTATGTTAATTAATACAGAATGAATTTCTCAGTGCAGAGAAATATAACCTTAGGTTGTTTTTTTTGTTTTGTTTTGTTTTTTACTTACTTCATCTATTTGCTCTACCTACTAATCTATTTACTGAGGTTCCATGAATCTTTAATGAATATGTTGTTGTTAAGGGCCATCGAGTCGAGCAATACTGATAATAACCCTATGAACAAAAGGCCTGGACCATGTTCTATAACTTTTGTCATTTCTCTAAGTTCATAGAGTTTCCAAAGGCACGATGTTGCTTAGGAAGTGGATGTCGCTCCTGCTTCCAAGCCTGTCTTAATCTGCGAGCAAACACTGGTAACCATAATCCAAATATTTTTTTAGAACAATTGGCATGCTCCATAGATTTTCACTAAGGCAAAGAGTAAGTAATAGTTCAACTAAAATAACTACATTCAAGTAGAAGCTGACACAGAGTTGACCCTCCAAAGCTAAAATAACAAAAGGAGATTGCCCATTTGTCTCTCACAGAGTGACTGGTGGATTTGAACCACCAGAGAGCTGCCACTTTGATTAGCAGTACAATTCCTTACTGACTTGCCACTAGAGCTCAGTCGTAGTCTTTCAGGAACCAATTATTCGCTGAATATTTTCCTCATCTTTAATAAGCCAACAGTTCCATTAGGACACCCTCATAGAATATACCTGGAGATGTATGAGATCAAGATTTTACTTTCAATATTCTTTTCCTTAATTAAATCACCTTTTTAAATCATATGATATATAACATATCCAAATATACTTAATTTTACTATGTTTTGCAGATTCTTTACTTTCTTTAAATTGAAGTTTTATATCAATCTTGTGTTAAGCAAAATCATTTTTTTTTCCCAGCAGCGTTGGCTCACTTCACATCTCTGGGTCACATTTTAACATTTTTTAAGTATTTAAAACTATTTTATGTTATTGTAAACTTAATAATAGATTAATAGAAACAAACTTTTTATAATTGAGCAAATTCTGACTCAGAGTAATTCTCTGTATGGCTTCTAAATTTGTAAATCTTAATCAGAGGAGAACCAACCCATACCTGACTTTCTAGCAGGTTTTCATAGGCCAAGGAGGAGATTGTCCAACTTTCTCCTGCAGAGCAGTTGGTAGGTTCAAACTGCATGCCTTCAGGATTGCAGCACAGCTTCTACCGCTGTATTTCTCATGTGCAGCAACAAGTGGGCTTTGAACTGCTGCAGTACAACACATGACTATATCCCTGAGGCTCCTTTTTAGAATGTTTACAGTATGTTGTTGATGTTATGTGCTGCTGAGTTAGAAAAGAATCATAGCTTCCTCTTCAGTTAGTCACACCAAAGGAGAATTTACCTTTCTCCCACTGAGAAACTGGTAGATTTGAACAACCAGTATTTATTTGGGTTGGCAGTACAATCCCTTATCTAGTAGACTACCAGAGCTCCCTAGATTACATTACAATGTAGACATAACTTACATGTTCTGGGAAATGAAATATTTACATGAATTACTTTATTGTGAGAGCCTCTTTATAATATTTGTCTAAAAGAAATACCACAATATCTCAGAGGTAAACTTTGGTTAATATCTGAGCATGTTTATGAAAAACCATAAATTAAATTTTACACAGGTGCTAATTTGGTTGACAAAATATTTAGTGAAAACATGCGATTCATGATGTTTAATTGAGTACAAAAAATATTAATCTAAATTGAACCTTTTGTTTGTTTTTTAACATTATGAACAAATATTATAAAAAAAGTTACCAAAATTTTAAGTTGAAATGTTAGTTTCTTTCCCCTGAAACTAAAAATCTGTTAGTGAGATATACATGCAGTTACACGAATCTCTTTGTTCACAATGATGGTTTCCATGAAAAAATAAATAATAAAGTAGAAATAAATAATTTTGTAGTAAAATATAAATGTTTCTGTCCTTTGTCCAATAAATGTGACATGACTTTACTTAGTTGTGTCATGGGTTCTAGTAAACGATCTTTTTAGCCGCCAGAAGAGTGTTCTTCAGTAGCATCACCACTGTCATGGGTCCCACACCTCCTGGAACAGGAGTGATGAATCTTGCCTTCTTCTTCACCGCTGGTGGAGGAAACAGAAAGACCTTAATGTTTAAACTCATCTGAGTATTTTATATCTTTTAAGCACATGGAATACAGTGAATTTTCCCACCTTTCATTCCAACAATCTCAAATACCTTTTAGAATGCAACAGCTATATCATACACACATGTATATATTTAGATAAGCAGATTTGTGTATGATATCTAAGGGACTAGACCACAATAAGAATAATAGGCCACCAGAGTTCCCTTAAGACAGCAGATCCAATTTTCATGCAGCTCAGTCAGTTCTGTATGATGAAAAGCTACAACCCATAATTGCTCCAATTGCCTATATATCTCCACTTAGCTTCTAAAATTCATAATATTGGTCATAAAATAGAGATGGAATATAGACGGTTCAGCACAAGTCACTCTGATTGCAAGTATTAGTGTTAATAACAGTATAATTAATGTATCAATAAGCATTCCAGTTCAAGCTTACTAAAAATATGTTCAACATACATGTTTACTGAGAATATATCTATCTATCTATCTATCTATCTATCTATCTATCTATCTATCTATCTATATCTATCTATCTAGTTGCCTAAATGAGTGAGGAGTTACTCTGGCAAACCAAAGGCAGGCAGTTCAAATTCACCATCTGCTCCCCAGAAGAAAGATGAGTGATCTCCCCACGTAATTTACAGCCTCTGAAAACCCATGGGAGGTTTCCACTTTACAACAAAGAGTTAGGAAGCTTGTGTGTGTGTGTGTGTGTGTGTGTGTGTGTGTGTGTGTTCCTATTAAAAGGATTTGTTTCTCAGTGAACATATGCAGAAAAAAAATGATCTTTCATTATTATAACATTCAGTATGTCTTACTCAATAATATTTTCTACCATAGCACAATGGTAAATGGTTGCCTACCTACATTAACTAAGTTAGAAGTTGGTGGCTCCAACTCACCAAACTCAAAACATACCATCAATCATGAAAATAGTAAAGATCAGGCAATGCTTCATTCTATTATATATGAAGTTGCAATGAGTCAGAGGATACTAGTCAGCAATCAATAACAACAATGGTCTTCACCTGACCTTGGCCAAGGTTTCTTTCAATCAAAAGCATTTAGTAGAAAGCAACAGACTCCTATGAACTACTCACTATGTGGAAGATTATATTTTAATACAGCTGGTTATTCAAGCCCTTGTTTCAAATAAGTTTGATTTCTATTTCACAAAATGGATTAATGTTAAAGTGGAGTTTGAACATGATCATGAGAAGTTGTTATGTGCCATCCAGTCGAATATGACTCATAGTGGCCCTATGAACAAAAGATCTGAACCCTCTTCTATCCTATGCCATCTTCATACTTTCTGACACACATGAGCCCATTGTGGCAGTCACCATGCCAATCCACCTGATTGAGGGTCTTCCTTTCCTTTGCTGACCCTCCATCCTTCTAAGCATCATGTCTTTCTCCAAGGAATAGCACCTCCTAGCAACATGCCTAAAGTATGTGAGGTGAAGCCTCATCATTCTTGCCTCCAAAAAGCACTCCTGCTGCATCCTCTTCAAGACATATCTATTTGTTCTTTTGGTCATCCATAGGATGTTCAGTGCTCTTCACCAACACCACAGCTCAAAAGCATCAATTCTGTTTCTGTCATCCTTATTCATTGTCCAGCTCTCAGATGCATAGCAAGTGATCAGAAAGACTATGGCCTGAATCAGACACACCTTAGTCCTCAAACTGACATCATTACTCTTATAATTTGTAGAGGTCCCTAACTGGCACATTTGCCAGATGCAATATGTCTCCTTATTTCACTAGGGATATTGTAGCTAATGTTAGATAGATTTTAGCTGAAAGCAGGGAATACCAGAAGAATGTCTATCTGTGTTTCATTGATAATGCAAAGGTGTTTGACTGTGTGGATAATAACAAACTGTGGCTGACTCTGAGAAGAATGGGAATCCCAAAACACTTGATCGTGCTAATGTGAAACCTATACTTGGACCAAAAGGCAGTCGTCAGAACAAAGCAATGAAACAATGCATGGTTCAAAATTGGGAAGGGTATACGTGAGGGATGCGTCCTATCTCCATACCTTTTCAACCTGTATGCAGAAGAGCTTATCCAGGAGGCTGGGCTCTATGAGAAGTGTGGCATCAGGATTGGAGGAATATCTATCAACAATCTGCGTTATGCAGATGACACAACTCTGCTTGCTGAAACTGAGGAGGACCTGAAGTGCTTGCTACAGAGGGTTAAGGATTGCAGCCTTCAATATGGATTGAGGCTCAATGTCAAGAAGACAAAGATTCTCACTATGGGACCAATTGGTAGCATCAGGATAGATGGTGAAGAGATTGAGATTGTTCACGGCTTTAATCTGCATGGCTCCACAGTCAACACTCTCGGCACCAGTAGCCAGGAAATTAAAAGATGTATTGCGATAGGAAAGTCTGCTGTTAGGGACCTCGCCAAAGTACTTAAGAGCAATGGTGTCACTCTGGAGGCTAAAGTGTATCTGATACAGGCCATGGTCTTTCCAATCACTTGTTATCCTTCAGAGAGTTGGTCAATGACTAGGGTCATTGGATGGAGGATTGATGCTTTTGAGCTGTGGTGCTGGAGGAGTATTGAGTGTATCATGGACTGCTAAGAAAACAAACAGGCTGCTCCTTGGAGATAAGGATTCTGAGGCTTTGTCTGACATACTTTGGACATGTTTTACGGAGGTACTGGTCCTTGGAGAGGAACGTCATGCTTGGGAGGGCCCAGAAGGGGAAGACCCTCTATGGGGTGGATTGATTCAGTGACTGGGGTAATTTGGATGGGTGTGTCAGAGGCAGTGAGATTGGCACAAGATAGAGCAGGGATTAATATGGTAACAACAACACCAAGGGCGTTAATTGTGGATTGAAGCAAGATAAAGCTGTTGATGGTTTCAATCTCCTCTTGATCCATCATGATGCCTCTCAGTCCAATGGTAAGAATATTCGTTTTCTTGACACTGAGATGCAATGTATACCTAAGGGTACATTCCTTGATCTTCTGCAACAAATGCTTCAAGTCCTACTCACTTTCAGTAAGCATGGTTGTGTCATCTACATAATGCAAGTTAGTGATGAGTCTCCCTCCAATTCTGATTCCAAACTCCTCTTCATAGAGTCCAGCGGCTCAGACAATTTGTTCATTATCCAGATTTAGTATGTATGGCAGTGACAAATATGACATCAAAATCTCTCTCTATTTTTTACTTGATTTTCAGGAAAATAAATGTTTCAGAAAGAAGTACAAGTTCATCAATGTTTGGCTGGAGTTTATAAAACATTTCACTCTATATCTTTCCCCCTCATTATGTAGGATGAGGATATAGAAGTGATTTCTCAACCCCCCCCCCAAAAAAAAACCCTTAGGATTTACTATTAGCAAATAAGAGTGAGTATAAATGTCAATGCTGAAGACAAATAATTTAGTTTCATGATTTTGCATACATATTTCAAGGTTGTTACATGCAACATGTTTATTAAGGAAGTATCAGAGTTGTCAGAAGAACTAGAATTAGTTGTGTGAGAGAGTTAATCTTAATTCATGCTTGATGCTATGAAAAACACCTTCCTTAACCACTTCTGCAAGATAGTAAGTTAACAAGCATTACATCACCAGAGTAGCCTCTTATTGGCTGGTCTTTTCCCTGAGGGCAGACAAGAGTTTATACCTGCTTGTAGATGATGATGTGTTGTTTTTTTTAGATTAGTCCTATTATGTATGGTGAGATGGTGTTACAAATGTCACACTGAAGGAAAGTTCAGAAACATGTCAGGCAATATGATCCTTCCAATACTTACTTACTATGCATACTAGTGTGAGGAAGTATATGCACATCTTAGGGGAAATAGCAAAAGTTTTGTATGTATGCGAATCTGATTACTATCAGCACTTTCATCAGAGGCTAATTAACAAGTATGGCAAAACCAAGGTTAGATTCAATTGAAACAAAGTCAACATGACTTAAGAGTTACTGAAACCATTTGACAATTGTAAATAAAACAATCATCACATCCTATTGTTGTCTGCTCAGAAATTGCTCTGAGAAATGAGATTGTGATAAAGATAACTTGGTAAGGTTTTAGGCAACTTTATGAAAACGATGGCATTTTTGAGGAAAGGCAAAAAAATATTATGACAATTTGTTTCAATAACCTTTGTAATCTTTTGATCCTGCAAAGTAAATTTTATTAGAGCCTAAACTGAATCATATAGAAAGGAAATAGATTAGTGCTTAAAATCAGTCATTTTAGATACAAGTACAATCTTATGTATTAGTCTGACATGTCTCTCTATTATTTCTTATCTGGTATTTATTTATCTTGCTTTTTATATTATTCATTTACTCTTTGCTGTTCAGTCAGAACTCATAATGGATGGTACAGCAGATTTTCAGAGCCCATAAACCACACAAGAGGAAACTGCCCATTTTTCTTCGTTCGTGAATTCAAACCCCTGCCTTTGGTCTGGCAGTGAAACTCCCTAACCACTAGACCACCAGATAGTTATAATAAATGTCATTTCCTTTGTAAAGTCTATTGACTTCCCCACTAAGTTAACTGTTCATTCATTATTCCATCAGACTTTCAGAAATGTGATTTTCCAATTTTAATCAGAGTATGTCCATTTTCAAATAAGGCATCTCCGGAGAATGTAGTCAAATTATGAATACATGATTCCTTTAATTCCAAGACTCTGATATTCCCCCTTGCTGAGAATCAAAGTCGAATGTGGCACACGTTTCTAATAATGAGAGAGGAGAGATGGAGTCACATAGAGAAATATCATGGAGGAAATTTATGAAATGACTGAGACTCACTCATTTCAGTAAGCTTAATATATGGTGGATATTTTTAAAAATATTAAAAATTGAAACATGAAGATCCTATATGAAGGAAAGCATTATTATGTGATTAAGTATCTTCTTCCAGTTTATAATTATATGTATGTTGCTAGTTGCCATTTAGATGACTATGAC